GGGCGCCTGTGGTCCCAGCTACTTGGGAGGCAGAGGCAGGAGACTCACTTGAGCCCAGGAGTTGGAGGTTGCTGTGAGCTATGATACCACAGCACTCTAGCAAGGGCGACAGCTTGAGGCTCTGTCTCAAAATAAATAAATAAATAAATAAAAATAAAATGGACAATTCAGTGGCATTTTGTGTATCCACAATTTTATGTGACCATCACCTCCCTCCAGTTTCAAAATTTGTCATCACTCCAGAAAAACACCCCAAACACATTGAGTAATTGCCACACATCCCTGACCCCTAGTGTGATTGACTAGCAAACTCTAATATGCTTTCTGTCTCTAGGGATCTGCCTATTTTGGATATCTCATATAAAAGGAATCAAAATGTAATCTTTTGTGTCTGCTTTCTTCTGTTTACCACGTTTTGAGGTATACATGAAGTTGTAGCCTATATCACTATTTCATTCCTTTTTATGGCTGAATAATAGTCCAAATATATAGTATTTATACATTGCAATTTGCTATCCATTTATCTGTTGGTGCCGCCCTAAGTACTTATTTTCAATTTTGAGGGCTATATTTATTCTAGAAATAGAGTTGCTAGGTCATATAGTAATTGTATTTAACTTTTAGAGGAATCACCAAACTGTTCTCCACATTTTATTTATTTTTTTGAGAGCCTCACTGTGTCACCCAGGATAGAGTGCCGTCGCATCATAGCTCATAGCAACCTCAAACTCGTGGGTTCGAGCCATCCTTTTGCCTTAGCCTCCCCAGTGGCTGGGACTACAGGCACCCACTATGACATCTGGCTAGTTTTTCTATTCTTAGTAGAGACTGGGTCTCACTTTGCTCAGGATGGTCTCAAATTCCTGAGCTTGGGTGATCCACCCACCTTGGCCTCCTAAGTGCTGGGATTACAGGCATGAGCACCGCACCTGGCCTTGTAGTTTTAGAAATAGTTAAAAAAAATCAATGTCAAATCCAAAATCTTGAAATTTTTCCTGTATTTTCTTCTTTTTTTTTTTTTTTTTTTGAGATGGAGCCTCAAGCTATCCCCCTGGGTAG